ATTCTTCTGAACATTCATTAATCTTAGGTATTACAATATTTAATAACACGTTGTTAAAATCGAAAGTTGCAACCGTGTTATTTAATGAGCTAACATGAACTAAGACTTGTAATTTTTAAACGAAGATTAATAACTTCTGTAGCAAATGTAGCTATTGCTCGTTGTGAATGTTAATGCATTAACTAAGCTTAACTAATGAGGTCTTATTGTAAAGTGATAGCTATTGGTCTTTATAGTTCTTTTGCACTTTAATCCGTGTAAAACTGTTAACTTTATACATTTTCTGTATTGCTTTATTGCATTTAAATGTTCAGTTATTTTTGTTATAAGAAAAAAGTTATTAAACCTGTTATACTGTATTATGACAGCACTTTTTTTTAAACTAAGTTTCAATATCGTGATAATACCGTATACCGTGATAAAAGCATTAGCAATGAATCGCAACATGAGAATTTGATACCGGCATATCCTTACACTGGACTATGGTATAAATAAATTTAACTATAACAGTTTCCCTGCAATTCATGTTATAATGTTAGAATTAAATAACAATAAAAATAATACATATGCACTTATCTGCACATAGTAAATTCAGTTATTTTTAAGTGGCTGTTGACATCCTATCTAAAATGTAGGATGCCAAATAAACAAAACACAACAACAATAGCGTTAGCACTCTAATATGTCTTGCAATATCCGTGCGTGCAAAGGTTCTGCGCGATCCTCTTGTTCAATATTCTCTGGGTCTGAATTCGGCTCAAATAGATATGGCAATATTGACGCCAGTGCTGGGCAGTATGACCAAAAATTGATATCACGGTATTTTTCAAAATTATACCGGTTTCACGGTATTTTTTTTTCATGCATGACCGGGTGTTAACCATATTTTCTACTGATTGAGAGAGGATATAATGCGGTATATTGACTTAGAATGCCCTATTTTATGCCATCCTTAACTAAGCTTGCTGCTTTGGCAAGGGGCGTGGCAGTACTGAAACACCGTCTAAGCTGTTCGCCAATCAGCTAACCAATCACATCACATTTAGTTTTTCGGAAGGCGGGTCTTCATCAAACCCAGAACTAATTGAGCCGTTTGTGCCAGGATGGGGAGAAAGTTATTGTAATAATGTAAATTATGTGAAAAATACCAAGCATGAGAGCATGTTCTAGTACACCCCCAAAACAAATTCAAGACATTATAAAAGAACATAATAGGACCCCTTTAAAAAAAATAGGACCCTATACATAGAAAGAACAGTTTTAAAATACAGGTCTGTGGTTTTTAACTTCTTTTTATTAATTCACCATTTGCACACTTATGTTTACTGTTAATTTTTTAGAAATATAAATAGCATTTGTATTAAAACCATATTCACTGAATGTAATCAAAAAAACGAGAATCAAATCGAATCGGGACATCTGAATCGATACCCAGCCCTAATGCAGAATTTATCTTCAGGATATGCAATGAAAGCTGATAATAGTCTATTGGCTGCGAGACTGCAGTTCAACACGGAAATCAAGCAGATGTATTAGACGTGAAGTGTAGTGCTGATGTATGTAGAAGAGGAAGACTGAGTGTGTAACCTCGGCGTTGCTCGCTGCTCTCTGCTTTGATCTCTCTCTGCTGGCGAGCAGGGCTGCGACTGCGACTGCGGTGACGCGAGCGCCCTTTATCTGCATACTCGTCTGCAGGAGCTCCTCTGTGATGAGACACAGGCCCTGGAACACAGTCAGCGGTGCATTAGTTCTGTGGAGCCTTAGGGCCCCAGGAATTTTAAATTTTTTTTTATGGATTCCATTTTTAATGCTTTAATTAAATGTAAATAATCAAAAAAGATCTTTGACACTTTGACAATTTAAAGGTGACATATCATGAAAATCTGACTTCTCCAGGTTTTAAGTGCTATAATCAGGTCCCCGGTGCATCTACCAATCAAGGAAACATGAAAAAGATTAACCCAGTAACTTTGTTTTGGGAAGCCTTTTTCTGCAAGCGTCTGAGAAAACGAGCGCATCTGATTTCGCTCCCTTGGTGACGTAAGGATGTAATCTTAATCTGTAAGTTTACACCCACGCCGCCGTCATTGTGTTTTCGCAAGCAACAACGGTGTACCAGTTCTAATGCCATGGTGAAAGTTTGAGCAAAGCATGCTAACAGTTCTGCCTTTGGCTGCACAGACGAGCACAGAACACTATTTAGAGTCCCAGCCTCAGAGACAACAGAGCAGTGGATTTATTGATTTATTTACTGTATATTGCTGCTGCCACACGGATCTAAAATAAACAAGCGATTTATTTCCCAGCTGTTTACCTTCACAGACATAAATGTAGGCCTGTCGCAATAATCAATATATCGTCTTTAAAATGACAATAATATCGCTTATCGCAATTATTGTTATTGTCGCAATTAAAAGTTATCTTGACAGGCCTACATAACTGGCTGTTTTTGTAACTCGTGTTTTTAACGTAAGCTTGTGTGTGAATGAGAGCTTAGTTTAGTACTCGCATGCTGTGACAGCCGCTTTCTGTGCGTGTGCTTCAGATGTGTGCTCTCAGAAAACCATATATCAGAAGTTTAAACTCATATGGTTTAAAACGCATGATTTCAGCGCGATAAACATGATAATCAGAACCAAAACAGATGTTTTTAGCAGGTGCGAGCTGTAATGGCGCAGCTCTTCTGGAAAAAGGGGGCGGGGAGCAGCAGCTCATTTGCATTTAAAGAGAGAAGCCCGAAAAAACAGCATGTTTCTTCTTCCACTCAAAATAGGCATTTTCAAAATGTTATAATTAATGATCTGTGGGGTACTTTTAGCTGAAACTTCACAGACACATTCTGGAGACACCAGAGACTTATAATACATATTGTGAAAAAGGGCATAATAGGTCTCCTTTAATAAAATGTTAACTACAATAGGGCCTGTGAAATGTTTTATTTTTCATAAATACTCTTATGTTTTAAACTTTCACATATTTATGATTTACTATAAATTTATTAGAAAAACAGTGGTAATCAAATAAAGTAGGGATGCACGATATTATCGGACTGATATCAGAATCAGCCGATAATGGCTTAAAATGTAAATATCGGCATCGGTCCGATATGAAACATTATGCCGATATGCCTTGCCGATAGGATTAACTCACACGTGCTCAGGGTGTGCTAGCAATTAGATCAAGTCAGTGTTTTGATTTAAAGGTCAGAAGCAATAGCTTACACATGAATTAAAAAATTTTTTTTAATCACAAACATGAATTGTAAATTAAATAATTTTATATATGCAGATTTATTCATTAATGTGTAATATATTTGTTTTGTTTTTTTAAAACTCTTTTGCCTTAGACCATCTACAAATGTTAAATCTTAAAATAATATTTTAAGGTTGCCATTGCATCTTTCTGGGAAACAAATGCAGTGATTGATATATATAGTTGATTTATAATTATTTTCAAAGCTTTCATTATAAAATAACTTCATTGTTTAATTCTAACAAATAAGTTTTTATTAAAAACTAACCAAAATTAAAAATAATTTGTTTATAATTTCTGCACCGGAGAGACTTGGTGTTGTTTCCAAACAAAAGGAAATATATCGGCATCAGCATCGGTTATTGGCAAAAATATCGGCATGTCGGCAAAAATTCAGTATCGTGCATCCCTAAAATAAAGGCATAAGACATTAACAATTTAATTAAACGAAAATGTAACGTCTAAATTAACTCATATAAATCAAATATAATTTTGTAAATTGCATAAACAATTATGAACAAAACAGCATCATGTATTTATGCATTGCTTAATCCAAAGCGCCGAAGCACCATTCACACAGAAATGCAACAATACCTTTAGCACAAGGTTCAATAAAGTTAAGTTTTTTAACCACAGTTTTCAGTTTGGTTCTGATGGTTTGGCACAACAGAGTTCTTTTTAGCAAATTTAAATTCTATTTAAATTTTTTTTTTTTTAACTCCGGTACATTGTTGTACACTGTAGAAAAACATGGATTATCACGTCTACCTTAAATTTCTTTTGAGAGAAGTATTATTTTTATAGATTGGCCATTATTTAGTGCTATGAACACATGTAATGTCTGTTTCATTCATACTGGATACTAGAGGACACCCCCGTGCAGAAAGTCCACATATGCATCAGCAAAGAAATAGTGCTCACGATGCTCAAGGAAATCCCTAACATGGACAAAAGCAGCTATCGCTGTAACTGAATGAAAGACAGGAACGCTGTTAATGATGACATGCAAAGAGAACATTAAGACAAACACTCAACAGTGACAATGTTTATCTGTGTTCTTAAAACCACCTCGGGTATTTTCATAAGTATATTTATAGTCCATTGCTAATCGACAAAGCCTTTATTACAGTACGAGTATAGAATATATTAGTATAGAAAAACACTCGGATTGGTTGAACTCATCTTTTTCTATTGTTTGTTTACTGCGCGCGGACAGGTCACCAGGTTTTTGCATAGTTTCGAGTGACAAATCGTACCAGCGTACTTTAAGGTCAAAACGCGTAGCTGCTAAGCAAAATGCGTACAGGTTGGCAGGTCTGTGTGTGCGAGTGTGAGAGTGTGTGTGTGTGTGTGAGAGAGAGAGAATGTGTGAGTGAGTGAGTGAGTGAGTGAGTGAGTGAGTGAGTGAGTGAGTGAGTGAGTGAGTGAGTGAGTGAGTGAGTGAGTGAGTGAGTGAGTGAGTGAGTGAGTGAGTGAGTGAGTGAGTGAGTGAGTGAGTGAGTGAGTGAGTGAGTGAGTGAGTGAGTGAGTGAGTGAGTGAGTGAGTGAGTGAGTGAGTGAGTGAGTGAGTGAGTGAGTGAGTGAGTGAGTGAGTGAGTGAGTGAGTGAGTGAGTGAGTGAGTGAGTGAGTGAGTGAGTGAGTGAGTGAGTGAGTGAGTGAGTGAGTGAGTGAGTGAGTGAGTGAGTGAGTGAGTGAGTGAGTGAGTGAGTGAGTGAGTGAGTGAGTGAGTGAGTGAGTGAGTGAGTGAGTGAGTGAGTGAGTGAGTGAGTGAGTGAGTGAGTGAGTGAGTGAGTGAGTGAGTGAGTGAGTGAGTGAGTGAGTGAGTGAGTGAGTGAGTGAGTGAGTGAGTGAGTGAGTGAGTGAGTGAGTGAGTGAGTGAGTGAGTGAGTGAGTGAGTGAGTGAGTGAGTGAGTGAGTGAGTGAGTGAGTGAGTGAGTGAGTGAGTGAGTGAGTGAGTGAGTGAGTGAGTGAGTGAGTGAGTGAGTGAGTGAGTGAGTGAGTGAGTGAGTGAGTGAGTGAGTGAGTGAGTGAGTGAGTGAGTGAGTGAGTGAGTGAGTGAGTGAGTGAGTGAGTGAGTGAGTGAGTGAGTGAGTGAGTGAGTGAGTGAGTGAGTGAGTGAGTGAGTGAGTGAGTGAGTGAGTGAGTGAGTGAGTGAGTGAGTGAGTGAGTGAGTGAGTGAGTGAGTGAGTGAGTGAGTGAGTGAGTGAGTGAGTGAGTGAGTGAGTGAGTGAGTGAGTGAGTGAGTGAGTGAGTGAGTGAGTGAGTGAGTGAGTGAGTGAGTGAGTGAGTGAGTGAGTGAGTGAGTGAGTGAGTGAGTGAGTGAGTGAGTGAGTGAGTGAGTGAGTGAGTGAGTGAGTGAGTGAGTGAGTGAGTGAGTGAGTGAGTGAGTGAGTGAGTGAGTGAGTGAGTGAGTGAGTGAGTGAGTGAGTGAGTGAGTGAGTGAGTGAGTGAGTGTGTGAGTGTGAGACCTCTCTCGGCGGGAGTGATCTCTGGCTTGATCCCTCCGTTTCTCACGCTCGTAATCTTGTCGAGATTTACTGTCCTCCCTCCATGGTCTCTTTCTTCTCTCATCTTCTCGCTCCTTCTCTTTTTCTTTGGTGCGCATGTGTTTCCCTGCTGTAATCACAACATCAGACAAAAGCACATGACTACCTGCAAAGCTCTAAACTAGAAACCGTAGTGATAACTCAGACGCTTCATGTCCTGCCTTTACTGAACTGAATGTCTCTTTCTACCGGAGACTTTGAATGGCTCTAGATCATGATCAGCAATGTTTTGTTTTTTTGACTGCTGCAGGGTTTTGTAGTGTGACACAAACCCAAGCTCTAAAGGTCAAGCAGATTAACCAAAGCAGTTCATAAACAGTTCATCAATGAAAATCTTTACATTTCTAGCGTTAGTGCCTAGGGTCAGAGCTGGAAAAATCCTAGATTCATTGATATTGACATCCTTTTTTTTTTTTTTAAACCTTGTAAATGTTTGATTTTCTGGGATGTATTTTATATTGCCGTTGCAAATTTGACTGATTTGTCCTCATTACGTTATGATTATTGGTGGCAGGTTTGTCTGGGTAAGGTGCAGACCTCCTTCTGCAGAAAGGCTCCTGCGCCTCCTCTTGTCCTTCCTCTTCTCCTCTTTTCTGTGGTAGGACTTGTCTTTTCGTGTCATCTGCTGCGGGGGTTTGATGGCCAGAGACTCGTCCTCCTCTCCTCTGCAGAAACACATTGAGTATCAGCCGATCAAACACACACAGAACTGAGCTATAGCAGCCGTTATTAACGATCCCATGCTGCACACTAGCACTAAACCTCTCACAAACCTGTCCTCAGTCGAGTCTTCCCGTGTGTAGGGTGAATTCCTTATTGTTATTTCCATCCTGTGGTCTCGTAGCTCTCCTTCCTCCGGAGTGTCCCGTTTGGATTCCCGATCATCCGTCTGCCAGGAACAAAACATTCGACACGGAGAACGTGTAACAAATCCATCATCACAGTGGACATTAGCAACCATTCACTCCCATAGAGCACTGCGAAT